TACCATATGTTCCAACCTGTAGATTTGCATAATTCCTGCTCATTATAAAATGCAGGAGAATGCAATATGCAAAACGGCAAGAACATTCACATTTCATACATATGTGGAGGTCAGACAATTCAGCTCTTTGTGAATAATGTGGACTTATTTTACCACAGAATTTTTATTTGTTTCCTGGGAATTTCAGTTGATATTATAAAGCAAGTCTAATCTAGTTAATGGTAGCGCTTGTCCAAGATCAAAACACTTGGTACATTTATTGAGAATAAACCACACTGAGCAATGTGGTAATAACTTCCAATAAAGACACCTAGCTGTGGGCTATGAATTCTGCTGAAAGCTCTGGGCACTTCAGCCATTACCAATTTGTTACTCTGATTTTAATGGGGCAGTCACAATAGCTTTCTTGGACTGTAGCCAAGACTTCACATACCAAGTGTTTTCAAAATTACAAACTGCCATGGAAATTTAAGAAATTGCAATTATATGTAATCATACCTTAATCCACCTCTCACTGTATGTAACTTATTATGTAGCACAATTAGTCCCCCTGGGTGAAAAAGCCCATTGCCATCTGCATGAAAGACTAATCCAGTCAGTGCCATGGACAACAAAGGCAAAGTCACACTGGCTGCAGGTGGGAGAATTGGTTTTGGCAGGGAGACCGCCCTCGAAGTATCAGAAATGTTAAAGTCTCACTTCTCTTTCCCAGCTACAAAATAAGCAGACTCAGAAAAGTTATCTACTATAATGTTTATTAAATAGTACTTTTAAAAGGCTTTTATACAAATCATAGAAACACAGTTTGGGTTTTCTTTAAACACTGAAGAATCACAGTAAAAGCTTTAAAGTCCACATGATCTGGCACAGCCAGTAAAATGATCAAACTACCTTGAGCTGGTAAGATATGCAAAATCCTGTTTCCTGCATTTCCCCCCCCCCCGCCCTTTACTCCCCAGGCTTTCTTGTTGACATCTCCCTAGAAAGCAAAGACCAGCTGTACTGCAGTGCTCCTACTGGCCATGGTGACGCTGACCATGGGAGGCAGGAAGGCAGGCAGGCAGGGAGGGAGAGGGCAAGCAATATTTCAGCAAAGGTACTGGTAACACTAGGCTGCATTTCTTTGTCCGTTTGGAAAAGAGGGAGGTTACTAAAGAACATGGATCATCAAGCACAACATACATTTGCAGATGACAACATACTGACATGAAAATATGCACCTTTTCTTTTCTTTTCTTTTCTTTTTTTCTTTCACCCTATGAAAAATACAATCAAACACCATTTTCTGCATTAGAACATTAGTAAAGCACCCAGCACGGAGGTAGGTGAGGTATCAGCTATGCAGCATTATGGCCGGTTTCTGCTCACTGAGTGCACACACAACAAAGCCCCTGTACCTGCCAACATAGAATACAAAGTGTGTGGGACTCATGCCATTTGCTCTGCCCTCCCGGCTGAACCTATGCCGAGGGCCTCCATTAAAGATACAAGAAACCCCACATAGCCACTCACATATATAATACATACAGAGAACTCACAAGCACGCGCAAACACATATACATTGTAATATATGTATACACGAACTCTCACTCTCTGTATGTCTACTACAGACAGCAACACTACCTTTTAATATATCTATATCATCTCTGAGGTCTTCCTTCATCCACCATACAAGTATAAGAGAAATACGGATGGGACCCCATCCACCTATGCTTTATTCTTCCACTGAAAACCATGGAGAGCTCCAGAGATAAGCCTTAGCTGGCTCGTGGACCTTTCTTCAACATTGGTAGCAATAATCAGGAAGCCCCTGTAAAATTAGATGGTCCACTCTATAGTTCAGTTTAGAGCGGGCTGAAGTGTATCTGTATATGGTATACCTGGATAGATACAGTCATTATTCTGTTAGAACAAGGCTGCTTTTAAGGCAGTGCTTTTGAAATGTCCTACTACCAGGGTACTTTCTCTATGCTGACTTCTGCAATGGAAACCCAGAAGCACATAAAACTAAACTCTTATATAGAATTGGGGCAATATTCCAAAGTATTCTCCAGGACTTGAGCCACTGGCTAGCCAGCTGTTTGCTCTGTGTGAACAGTGGCTATTCCAAAACTCCTGATGCTGCTATTCATTTTAGGAATGATGGATGGCATCTTGCCCATGCTGCTTTTCAAGGACATATATTTTTATAGGTAGTCCTCAATTTACAACCATTCATTTATTGATTGTTCAAAGTTACGACGACACTGAAAAAAATGACTTCTGACCATTGCAGCATCTCCAGAGTCATGTGATCAAAATTCAGAAGCTTGGCAACTGGCATGTACTTCAGCAATGGCTGAAGAGTCCTGGGATTGCCATTTGCAACCTTCCCAGCCTAGCAAAGTCAATGGGAGAAGCTGGATTTGCTTAACGACCATGGCAAAAAAAGGTTGCAAAATCAGATGTGACTCACTTAATAATCACCTTGCTTAGCACTGGAAATTCTGGTCCCAGTTGTAATCAAGGACTACCAGTAATATTATTTCTTTCAATGAGTTGCTCCTGCTGGTTTTCTGCAGAACGGAGAAAATAGTGCGAAAATCAATGCTTTAACATCCTAGTCTATCACAGAATTAAATGCACCCAAATGAGCTGCACTAAGCACACCTAAACCTGTACAGAATTGTGACTTCAGTGTGTTAAAGTGAAAGTAAGTGCCTTGTTCATATCCTTGCACACAGGTGGTTATTACCACACACACCAAACATTCTAGACATTCAGCTTGGTAAGCATGCATATAAAACTGTTCAGAGGAGCATTTCATAGTTTGCATGACAGTATATCCTATATAAGTAGGATAACTGTGCAAATCCTCATTTCTATACATGTGTACATATATGACACATGTGTACCCAAAGGTATACCATTACATTCACAAGTAGCAGTTTAGAAATGCATTCCTGCGAAGTGTAGCCAGTGAAATGTCTTTAACAATTACTGACAATTAGGTACGTTCCTAGAAAAGAGCTTTGCCAGCACAACATCACAAAGATGAAGCTATATTGGCATCATAATATTGTCATTGAATATCAAACTATCATACTAAGCTATCAGGTGTCATTCCTCAAATTACCATTTTTTTAAACTGCTTATCCAATCTGTTTAATTTGGAAAACTTTCCACACCTCAGTCACTATGATTTTTCCAAAAAAAACCCTGTGGCTTGAAGATTGCTGCCAAGAGCTGAACAAAAGGAATTGGAAACTGGAAGTTGGTATGTAAACTGGTCTGCAACACACTTCAAGCATGGCACAGCACCCGTGGAAACATTAGATATATATTTGACTATCTGAAAAGACAAAACTCTACCCAGTAGAGATCTGATGGTAATGAAGAAGTGAAAGAGGAAGAGGGACAAGGAGAAACATTGAATGCCTCAGTTGTATTTTGTTACATCACACATCTCTAAGGGAAAAATATTTTTCTAAGGCACTTTATTAAAAAAAGTCAAATACATATTCACACAAAGCCCTTCAAAAATAAACAAGTTGCTATGCAAAGCACAACAAGCAAATTGCATTTTTCTGAAGGAAGAAGAAGGTGATAGAAGATTGCTCCAGATCCATTTATTCAACATCCATACTAGAATATCAGCTTAACTTTGATACCCTGCAATGTTGCCATAACCTTAGGTTTCCAATGGCTGGGTCCTCCTGAAGGGACCTGAATCTGTGAAGGACCGATGCCTTTGCCAGACAGCACCACAATTATGAATCTGCTCAAAAGGTACATTAGTTTAGAATCCTTTGCAGAAAACTTAAGTCCTTATTAACTAATGATGACATTAAATCATATCTTTCAGTTAGAGGTATCATTGCCACTCTGTGATGGGCTGAATAACTGCATTTACTCCATGAGCCTTTTAATACTTTTTTCCCCCTCATCAGAGTGGACACAGCATTAACAAAATATATTTATCTTTCTATCTATCTAGCAGCCCGTCTTCCTCTTGAAGTATATAAAAAGCCATCTCCTGAGTTCTTGGGCACCTTATAATTGTGTCTTTTGTTTGCTGCAATTTTCTTACACTAAAAAAAACAAGATTAAAAAAGGGGGTCAGAAAGAAAAGGAGAAGAAAGAGCCCTTGTGATGAAGGCCTCTGCTGTTTCAGTCCAAGATCTGGATTTAATAAATGGCTCTTATTCACAAACCACTTTAAGGCTCTTCAGCTTCTCTGGAGGAGGTGCTTCTGTCAACTTTCACACCTCAGGCTGCCTGTTTCTTTTGTTGGTAATCCGAAAAGAAAGTGCTTTTCCTGCTGACCCATGAGCCAAATCCTCCCGCCCTTCCCCCCATCCCCAATCCCTGCCACTCCTCTTCCAATTGGTGAAAGGGAGCCACATGGTTTCATTGGATGGGGTGGGGGTGAGAGATGGGAGGGCTGTTGGAAGTGGCTGCAGCTTCCTGGACTTGTTTCACACACACACCCCAGCACCGAGACAGTCCTTTTCAATCAAGCACCATTTCTGACAGGTGATCTACTGGCTGGGGCACGCAGGTATCTGTGTGTGCGAGCAAGTGTGAGATTATAATTCCTAAGACTAGAAAGGGGAAGGGGCCATTTAGCAATCTCATCCGAAGAAGGAAATGGCAAATAATTATCCACATTTTGTCTCTTGCTTCCTCAAAACCAAGTGGATCTTTTGCCTTCCTCAGATGGGATTGACTCATAGAAGAAACAAAATGGAGAGCATGGCGGCTCCTTCGTTTGAGCCTACCCAGTTCTTCCTGCAAGAGCAATTGACCATATTTCTTACAACATCCTCTTCCAACTTTCTTCCTGCTGCTGCTTTCTTCTTCTTCTTTTTCTTCTAAACAACAGCAACCCCCACCCCATCCCTTCAGCATTCCAGCATGGGCTTGTGTAAAATTATGGCATTCAGTTTCCATAGAAAAAGTAATCTTCCCCAGCCACGACTGCTGGAATGAAATGTCAAATGTGATTTCAGTGCAATCAGTCATGCCTCAGAGCAACACTTTTGGTGGTTCATTTTGACCTTGTGTTTGATACCATCATAAAGCTCAAAGTTATAATTCTCCAGAGTGGTAGAGCTCCGGGAAGAGAGGCTAGTATAGTAACAGGTGCAGTACAGTAGTAGCCCAGCACAAATTGCCCCTAGAAGGACTCCTAGAGAACTCATGGCTATGATCGTAACCAGGATGGGGTCCAGAGTATATAGCCAGTTCTTCTCTGTGTCCACCAGTGGAGTCAATGGGGAGTTTGTAGAAAGCATGGTGTGGTTTCTGTCCAGGTTTATGGCATCTGAAATGCAATGGGAAGCAAGAGGTTATCAGAAAAGCAGCCTTGGGTGGGACTAGTGAAGGAGGGAGAAGGACCCCCATGGAGGGGCCAGCTTCTAGAACAGCTTTGCTGGCTGAGGAATTCTGGGAGTTGAAGTCCGCAAGTCTTAAAGTTGCCAAGGTTGAGGACCGCTGTTCTAGAATATCTGTCTTTATCTGAGTTTAGCTGGAGGACAGGCCTTACATGCCCTTTAACCAAATTGTCACAGGGATTGTAGGAGATCTTCTCCTGTATGAACTTATAGGAAGGTTAAAATGTCTGAAGCTAAAGGGTCTAAAATACTTTTAATTAAACACTGTTGCTTTGGTAAATACACTGTAATTCTTTTTAAACTTATCCTCACAACTTTCTTTACTAGTGGGACTCTTGCTGGCGCTCTTACTTTCTCAAGCCACATGCAACAGGGAGCTTCTGTCTCCTACATGGAGACATAAGGTCAATATTCACAGTTTCAGCCTGACCTCCAATTTGCATCACTTTATAATATTTTCCCTTCCTGTGTTTTCTGCCTGCTGTTTCAAAGAAATGCTCTGTGGTTTTACTTTAGCGAAAAAGACTTAAAGAACATGATTTTGTTTGCATCCCTAGTGAAACAAATTGTATCTTTTAGTTGCCAAATGTTTCTGCTGCCTAATTTGTCCCCAATTCATGCTCCAGCTAAAGCTTTACATTTCTCTTCCTCTAGATCCATCACATCTGAAGGATGCTAATTCTGTAATGGTGAGAAAATACCAGAAGGCTGGCAGGGAAGCATAGGGAGCATATATGTTTAGTAACAATTATAGAATAACTTCTCCAGGCCTTGAGTATTCTAGATATTAACTTGCTGTATTCCAACTTGCTCTTGGTTCTATATCTGAGAAAAGATATACTAGATGTTTTTGCTAAAACAGTGTGTGTGTATGGAGGGGGGGAGGATCCTTCCTCAATTTGCTCTTCTCCCTGATTGTCAGAGTTCTCTGATCTTGCACTTGACACATGCAACTGTGCCAGTATCCGCCCACCAATTAATAGACTGAGTTCTCACAATTAACAAGCCCTATTTTGTGTAGTACAGATGCTAATTAGGATTATGCAATGTGAAGGTAAAACGTACCCTAAATATGGGACCAACTACTATTAAAATACTGTACTTTGTTTCTATACCCTAAACATGACTTGTGTAGCCAGAGGTAAGGACTCACATACACATCTGTACCAATTCTAAAGCAAACTGATTTAATCCACTTACATCAGATTCATGAATGGCTTACTTGTGGCTAAGCAATAATTTGCTTTTCAGAGAATCATAGAAAGCAGAATTGAAACTTGAATACGGAAGCAGGGAACATCTGCTACTCACCGTCTTCAGAGTCTTCTCCAAAGTCTTCCCCATGAATTGAAACCTCATCCTCCAATGCTGGGAAATCCACTGGAATGAAAAAGATGTTGCAAAATGTTTAATTCAAAAAACAGGAAGATACACTTCCCCTTAAATAAATTCACACTTTTCCAAAAAGTTTTTTTTTCAAGGCCAAAGCTAGTATCCATTCATATTTATTACCATACTATGGGAATTACATGCATCACTGTAACTAAACCAGATAAGACTGATTATTACTGAAGGAAGCTTCTTTATCATTGCTATGCTTCATTAATAGCATGATCACATTTCCATAGTGCCCATTGTTAGTCACCATCAATGAGGCATCCATGTCATCATCTGACATACATCTCAGTAGATATAAAGCACAAATGACCACTTTCAATATGGGTATCAAATGCCATATATGGAAGCCGTATATCATCATTATATATATGATTGTAAAAGTCAGATTAAGTTAGTAAGACAAGAATTCCATAAATGCCTTCAGATATTCATGCAAATCATTCTTATAAGCCTAACTTCTTATAAGCTACTTCCTTTTCATTGTGCCCTCTAAGGGGTCCTTGGTGTTCTCTGAGCTTGCTTGTTTTCTTGCAGATGTTTCATTACCCTATCACTAGTGCTAGTAAGGAGTGCAGTTTGCTGTCAGTTTATATTGTGGTGTCTTGACTGTGTGTTGGTCTTAAGGATTCTTTGGTTGGACTGTTTACTAATGGCTCCTTGGTGTTCTCCTTCATTGTTGCCCTTTGTTACCCTCAAACTTCACCTTCATTGTCCCACACATTCTTCTCCCTTCTTATTTTATTTATTTATTTTTTTGGTCCTTCCATATCGCCCACTTCTGACTGCCTCCGTCTCTTAGCAGCTGCTTCCATGCTACTTGCTTCAGGCTATTTACTCTGAGTCTGGAAAAATCAGGAGGGTGACAGTCAAAATGGATTTCTCTGGCAGTTTCCCTTTTTTTACTTGATTTCATTTTTCTGCTTCCCCAGATTTCCATGCAACTTGCTTAATGTTTATGTAATCTGCTCAGATTTTTCTCGCTTTCCTCTTGGAAGTAGGGACGGAGGATTTTGCATGTGTCTCTGCCCACAGGTACGTGTATGCTCCAGAGAGAAATAATGTCTGTACATCCAGCTTCTTTTTTGGAAGGCAGAGTGTGCAAGTTAACATTTTTATATCTACCCACCTATCTAATTTGGTCAGGTGACAGTCAGACATATATATATTGATGAATAGGAGAAACATTAACTTAACAAATGGGGCACTATTAATTTTATAGATAGGATGAACTGTCTCAGGGGTTTTTATGTATAAATTATATGATTTTTCAAACTAATTTGACATACTTATGTCTATTTTTTTAGTAATTATAGTTCCTTGGGAATTTATATATTAAAAAGACAATTGCCCCATTTTAAAAAATAATCTTACGTATGCACTGGGGGAGGACATTAAACATTCTAGTATATTTTAAAAGTTGACTTTTATACCTGTATTGTTTGTGGGTGGGCATTAAATACAATAAGCTGGCATGGAGGGGAAATTGAGTTATACTTCCTTATTAATTTTCTACTCTTTTGTCATTGCAGGGATTCTATAAACATGATTTATACATTTGTACATCAATTAATTTTATTCAATTTCCTTAATGGTCCAGCCACTTTTTGGACCTGGCATCATCCATTTTGGCAGTAAGGCCCCAAGCATTTTTAGCATAGAATGTTTGGGGCCTTTGGCCCTATGCAGATGTAAGGATTAACTATAGTTGTATAGTAGACATTTTGTTTTGTTTTGTTTTACTCCAGGGCAATATCTCACATTTTTAAGGATAACAAAGCTTAGGCATGAACATACATGTAATCATTGGTGCACTCAATACTTGATGGCTCACAACTGATGATAGCAATTCTATCTGTTTAATTACAGAAAAGGCCACAATCATGAATTCTTCCCTCCTTTGGAACTGACCTAGGTTGCAATAATTAGTGATTATCTTCCTTCCATTCTTCTTGAAGTAGGGGGAGTGTTCTTCATCCCTGTAAGAGTTCTCTCTCAGCTAATATTTATTTATTTATTTATTTATTATTTTAATTTCTATTATTTTAATTTAATTTAATATTTATATTAATTATTTAATTAATATTTATATATTTATATTTATATTTAATTTAATATTTATATTAATTTCTATTATTTTAATTTCTAATAAAAACAGACAGCCCTCCCCTTCTTACAGAATTAGTATAACTTAAACAAACGTCAATCTATATGTGGCCAGTTGGGAGTTACATGTGAGGATTGCTACCAGCAGTTACAGTGTTGGAAATGAGGAAGCAACTATTGTAGCATCTGATTTGTGGGCACTTTCCCCTAGATTAATCTTTGGTTGATGTTGAATCATCAGACATTGAAGTTGTGTGTGTGAACACAACTGAAGCTCAACTGCCTTCATGAATAAATCCAATCAACAAATGTGCTACATTTTTATTCTTTAGTGTCAGAAATGAAATCACGCAACACTGTCCCTATCATTTTAGGGGGGGAAAGTATTCTGCTGTTCAGCATGTTTCACACAAGTTGAAACACAAACAAAAAACAATCAGCTGACAATTTGTAAGGCCAATGAAGTGAAACATGAATATGTGCTTGACAAGCATGGCACAAACAAATGCCTCCCACGGAAGGTGGTGATACAACATTCGGGAATTACAAGCAATTATTAAAACTACAAATGTACTTGCCACAAGAAAACTAAACCTGAGCTGATATGCAGAAATGTATGAGGAGCTCTGTTACTGGTATAGGCCTTGCTAAGTATGCCTAAAAAACAAAACAGTCCCAAGCAGGAGCAAAAAAACAAACCAAAAAACCCCCAACAGCAGTAGTTCAACAACAGCTTGGAGGACTGGGTTTTCAAATCACGCTCAAGGCCATATGGAGACATTTTGCTGCCTCAAGCAGAGTCCGGAGGGTACCCTCTTCTGCCACAGCCAATGTTCGGCTGTGCTGCAACATTTAAAGTGGAGCTAGGTTGAAAAATTATCTTGCTTCCCCCCCCCTTTCTTTCTACCAATTATCATTCAACAGAGTAAAAGAATTAGGAATTCTTTTTGAACATTATCATGAACAGGATGAAATTCCCTTGCATTTAGTGATGAGATGGGCAAGGGGTGTGTGTGGTGGACAGTCTTTCACTGGATCACCATTTCTGCAATGACCCACAGCCATTTTGATTTCAAACAATTCCAGTAAGGGAGAAACTATGAGAGAACCCCCTCCTGTTCTCTAGGGCTTTTTCTGAAGGCTTCCCAGGGTGTGCCATTCCTCTGAGAAATATCAGTGAACAACACAAATAGTACCCTCCACATCACCAGCAATGAAGCTCAAAACAACCACCAAGTGCCATTTGAAAGAATGTCTCAAAGCCTAAAAATAGCATAAAATAAAAAAAAAAAGATTCCTGTGCCTCAAGGGTGGGGAGGAAACTTCTAAGACATCAAATTTTATAGAGCATTCATGTAGAACACAACTCTTGTATTACATCTCTGGGGTTGTTGGCAGCAGAATCACTTTGTCCCACTGAACAATCAGCACTGTTTCCATTGTAATATGTTCTGTCAAATGCTTGGCCCCAAGATTTTGAAACTGCAATGCTGGTGCAGTCCCTCAGCTCCCGAGCCTCGCTCTTGCACAGAGCCGTCTGGTGAGGGAAGCGACACTTGGCAGCCCACTAAAAGAGCCTTAGCACTGAATGGAAAATCCATAGCTGAGTATGGAGCAGGATCCTAACAAAGGCATTATCCAGCTGTGAATGTTTTTCGTTCTGATTGCGTGTTTTATTCTTCTTTCTGAATATTTATCCTTTTGTTCTGTTACAGTGTTAGAATGCCTGTTAATATTGTATACTACCCAATGTTGTTCAGGAAACGAGTAGCCTTCAAAATCTGGTAACAAACAAGCCAACAGTCAGTATTAGCAGCCACTGATCACCTGAATTCTCCACGAACCTGTCCAATCCCATTTTTAAACCAGCCAGATTGGCTCCCATTATCACAACTGCTGGCAGCAAATTCTACCAATTACCTATGCACTGTTTGAAAAAAAAAATCCTTCTTGTGTCTCATGAATCTTCCAGAATTTACTTTCAGGGGACGACCTCAGCTTTGAACATTGTGAACGCAAAAGTTCTTTTTCATCACATTCTCCATGCCCAGCATGATCTTAAATAGAGAATTACCTCCCTTATGTCTCTCCTTTTTTCAAAGTGAACACCCCCAACATCTATGCAGGTAGTCTTTGCTTACTGACCACTCTTTCAGTGACCACTCAAAACTGTGATGTTGCTGAAGTTACGACTGCTCATTGAAGTTCTGGTGATACCACCCTGCAATCATGTGATTGAAATTAGGGTGCTGGGTAATCAGCTCAAACTTACAATTGTTGCAGTGCTCCATAGTTACATGATTGCCATTTGTGCCTTCTCTTCTGGCTTTCCGCAAACAAAGCCAATGGGGAAGCAGACAAAAGATGTCACAAATCACTCAAGTAATTCCCTCCTCCCCAATCTCCCTGCACTCATGCAATGTGCCTACTATTCCCTGGCTCCCGTTCTCACAATGCCATGCCACAGCACCCCCTTCTGCAACTTGTGTGTGGCCTGTGGTTAGCCCCCTAGGATCTGGCTACTTTGAGTTTGATAGACAAATATACCAACAAATCAGGGGAACACCAATGGGATCACTACTCTCAGGACTCATAGCAGAGACCATAATGCAATACCTAGAAACTGTAGCACTCATGAATACAACCCAAAGTATGGATCTGATATGTAGATTACACTTTTGTCATAAGGAAAAGGGAACAACTAGAGAAGACACATGAAGCTATCAATAACATCTTCAATGGAATAAAATTTACAAGGTAAAAGGAAAACAACAACACACACTATTTTTTCTGGATATCCTTATCAGCAGAGGCAATGATGGCAAATAAGAAACACAAGTTTATTGTAAAACCACCCACACTAAGTGCTCCACCACAAA